TTACCGGGAAATCGATTTCGGTTTCGTGTTCGTGCGTGCCGTGCGGGCGAGGGAAAGCTTTCTCCTGAGTGGGCGGGCTGACGAGAAAGTTCTGTGGCTGAGGGCGCGGCGGGACCAAATGTGTCTCCATATCCGGCCGGCGGTGTCCGCGGTGTCCCGCCAGTGTTCCGTTGTGCTACGTGTCCGTGTGGCTGAGGAGCGGCCGGACAAAACAATGGACTCCCTTCCGGGCGGCGGGGGGGCCAGCACGTCCTCGCGGGTCCCGTGGGTAGCTGTGGTGAGGCGCGGGACGGGTCGTGACATTCCCCTTACGGCGCGGCCGGGGGCCAGCGGTGTCTGCGGTGCCCGTCGGTGTGTCCGATTATGGGTGATGATATTGATGATGATGGTGATGATGATGACGATGTTGATGTTTTGTTTTGATGATCGATAGTGAGATCGGAAGTGATATCGATTGTGAGATCGAACGTGAGATCGAATGTCAGATCGCTTGTGAGATCGATTGTGATACCGAATGTGAGATCGATAATGAGATCGATAGTGAGATCAATGATGAGACCGAATGTGAGATCGATTGTGAGCTCGGTTGTGATATCGATAGTGAGATCGATAGTGAGATCGATAATGAGATCGAAAGTGAGTTCGATAGAGACATCGATAATGAGGCCGAATGCGAGATCGATTGTGATATCGATAGTGAGATCGATAGTGAGACCGAATGTGAGATCGATAATGAGATCGATAGTGAGTTTGATAGTGAGATCGATAGTCAGATCGAATGCGAGATCGATTGTGATATCGATTGTGAGATCAATAGCGAGATCGAATGTGAGATCGATTGTGGGATCGATTGTGAGATTGATTGTGAGATCGATAGTCAGATCGATTGTGAGATCTATCGACTGAGATCGATTGTGAGATCGGTAGTGAGTTCGATAGTGAGATCAATCGAGTGCGACATTGGTCCCTCCCCCCCCTCACCTCCTTATCACCCGAAGGGTGGTCTATGCGGTATATTGTTGGCTCCGCTTGGGAAGCACATTCCGCGTAATCCCGCCAGCAAATCCAGAAACGATGCCCAGACGAGTTGCCCTGATCAGGGATGTGGAGGAGCATGCAGTGAAATAGAAAGGCTGGGTAAGACGTCATACCCTAAGAGGGGGAACATGGAGGAGGAATCGGAGCAGGAGGAAGAGGAAGAGGAGTAGGGAGAGGGGGATGGGGAGGAAAGAGAAGGCAGGAGGAGGAGCAGGCGGATGAGGAAGAGGAGGAGGATTATGAGGAGGAGGAGGAGGAGGAGGAGGAGGAGGAGGAGGAGGAGGAGGAGGGCGAGCATAAAGGCCCGAGGCTTCATGATGCCTCTCGGAGTCTGGTTTTTGGAGTCCTCCTGGGGCGTCTTGGTGGTTTTTTGGCAGTCCCAGGGGATCTCTTGCCCCTGGGTGTCACCTTGGGGACTCTTGGTGGTCTCTTGGGAGCCTCTTGGAGGCATCTTGGAGGCGTCTTGGGGGCCTCTTGGGGCCTCCTGGGCACCTCCTGGGGCCGTCTTGGGGCACACTTGGTAGCCTCGGGAGCCATGGAGAACATCGACCAAATGACGGGCGGTGAGAAATTAGCCCACCACCCCCAACCCCCGATGCCGAAATGTGACCTAAACCTTAGTGAAATCATTGATTTGGGCCTTCTCGCAAGGGCTTCTTGGGGCGTTTTGGGTGCTTCTGGGGGTGGCCTCTTGGAGCCTCTCGGGGGTCTCCTTGGAGCCTCTTGGGGGCAACTTGGGGGCCAAGAGCCTCTCTTGGGGCCGTCTCGGGGCAAACGTGGGAGCCTCGGGGGCCATCTTGGAGGAGGTCGATCAGAAGAGGGAAGCTCCGAGTGTGGCACGGGGGCCCCATTGCCCAAGGTGAAGATTGCACCGAGGGGCGCCAAAAGTGCTTCAGGGGCCCCAGGGAGGGCTGGGGACACGCCCAAGAACCTCCCGAGAAGCCTGTTGGGACGTCCCTTGTCCTGTAGCTGTAGCAATACGAAGGGCGCCAACAGGGCGGTGTCGCGCGCTTCTTCTTTTCCCTGTCAGGTTCCTCCCCAATACACGGCCTGCAGTCGGGATTCTTGCTTAGGCCCCTTGCCAGTCGTGCGGCGTCATGTTTTTTTTATTCTCTTGCACAGGGTGTCTAGAGCTCCGACCACTTTATTTCGGCGTCGTCGCCCCCCCCCCCCTCCCCAGCTGCCCAGTGCTGGTGCTGGTGCTGGTGCTGGTGCTGGTGCTGGTGCCGCTGCTGGTGCTGCTGGTGCTGGTGCTGGTGCTGGTGCTGGTGCTGGTGCTGGTGCCGCTGCTGGTGCTGGTGCTGCTGCTGGTGCTGCTGGTGCCGCTGCTGGTGCTGCTGGTGCTGCTGGTGCTGCTGCTGGTGCTGGTGCTGTTGCTGCTGGTGGTGGTGCTGCTGGTGGTGCTGCTGCTGGTGCTGGTGGTGCTGCTGCTGGTGCTACGGCTGCTGTTGCTGCTGTTGCT